GTCTGTAGATAAGGATCAGACTTGCACATTTATGACTCGGTGTTAAGGGTGTTACCACTGAGGCCTAACTGATACCTCTAGGAAGCCAGAATTTAGGGAGGGACTGGTTTCCGAGACTGTTCACAGAAACATTTTGCAGTTACATCTAAAACATAACAGCATTTACTCTACTTTAGCACAAATTTCAAAAGAAGAATGGACTTCTTTTTGTGCAGTGCCTTTCAAATCTGCAAGATGTTCTCTGTCAATTCAACACTTTTGAGGTATAGTTACAGTTAATCCTTGCTTAAAGTTGTGTTTGCATTCCTTAAAATTGTGCCTTTAACTGAAACAATTTTATTGAAGCATGGTTTCCCATAGGAATCAATGTTACAGCCAGATTTTGGTTCCTGTGGATATTGTCTACTCAGGGAACAAAAAATGTACAAGTTAAACTGTACAGCACTGAATATTCCTAGCTGAAATAAATTGCAAACCAAATAATTGTTTCTTTTATATTTAAATGTGTGGTCAAGTACTTCAGGACCTCTCCTAGCAGGAAACAAAATGGCATATATTCCTAAATTCCTACATTCATAAGCAACATAAATTTCAAAATAAAATCAATTTTAAAAAGTAGGAGAAATACAATGTAAATATTACTGTAAAGAAATGTTAAAATTAAATTCACTTGAAGTTTTTATTGACGAGGCTCTATCTAGTGGCAGATAACGGTCAATGCAGGCAGAACTACCTACATGTACCAATTTCTGCCATGCGGCAGAACCCAGGACATCATGACAAGTTTAGAATGGCAGCCAGGATAAAGGACACTGGAGCCTTTAACGGTAAGAACAGAAGATGAGAATGGGAGCCGTGGGTCAGGTGTTGTGTAGGAGTGGGCCAAAAAGGGCAGCAGCGGGAACCAGAGGGAGGCCAGCTGGATTGGATGCAGGCACAGAAGCAAGGGGAAAAGGTCTTAGGAGTAAACAGGCTACACAAAAAGTCTGCCACAAACAGTGTTAAACTGAAATTCATGAGATTAACGGTAAAACAGTGACAAAATAATTGTTTAAAGTCTTAACTGAGTCAACTTTAAATAGGGACTTACTTTATCATATAGACCAAAAAAAACCAATTTGGAGATAGCAAAGTCCCATAACAAATAAAATAAATTATTGCTTATGTTTTGTTTTAGTTGTGACAGATATTTGACACAGTATCAGGAAAACTTGTGGATCTTCAGATTTTGTCTTGGAACTTTTAATGTTCACTTGAGCAAGCAGCCGGGACCTTAACTTAATATCTCCTCCTGAACTCGGGTGTCAGCTTGGACTATGCACTGAAATCTCTGACGTGGAGCTTGAACCCACAACCATCTGATGCAGAGGTGCCAGCCAAATGATTCATGTATGAAACCTCGTCAAGCATTACAACTGTCCATCCCTGATGTCTCCATTCCTTTGACTCTGATTTCACACTAGCTGCTCCTCCCTTTTCCCTACTATTGGTAACTATGCCTTCAACTGCCTAAATCTGATGCTCAGTAATTTTTTTACAAAACCTCTCCATCCCCTTTAAGAACCTCCTTAAATCCACATTTTGCAAAGCTTTTATTCATCCCTTCCTAATATCCATTTCTTTAGCTCATTGTTCATTTTTACCTCTTTGCCCAATGAGATATTTGCATTGTCAAGGACAGGATACAAGCATGAATTCTGTTATAAATTCTTGTTGCTTGTAATCTGTTCTTTCAGTTTTAATTGAAGACCATGTTGAATTCATTAACTGCCCTTTAAAACCAGATATCATTGAGATATTGGAAATAATCCCACTTTGGATGGATTTGATTCTTTACAACAACACTGGATTTCAGGAGTTTGGCTAAATTAATATTTTCCTGAGTGCATTTGCCAAGGTATATCTTAAGCTTTGAGAAATAAAAACACACAACTTGAATATGTCTGCATTAAATAAATATAAATTTTATTAAAAACACCCACATCTCAGCATTATCAGGAATGATATAATAAACAGCTTTCAAATAACTTTCCGCTTTTAGTACATTACTTACAGTATTTATAACCAGCCTCTTTAATCTTTTTTCAACATACCCAATTCATCAGTAAAGAGCAAAGCTAAAGTAAAATACAGAACAGAACGCATACAAAATGCACACCAAAACTGATTTTTAGTGTCAAATTCAGCTAAGTATTCTACACTTGAGTATACATTAACCTCTAGCTTGAGAAGTGAACAATATATACTGCTGTGCGTCAATCAAGCTGAAATTAAATTCAAGTAATGTCAACACCACTCTGAAGCATCTTCAAGTATGGCTAGCATCAACCCAATACCCTATACGTGCACTTTCCTTCCAAAAGACATGTTGCTACTGAAGCTGGGCCCTGTACAACAAGTGGCACAAGTTCATTTATTCATATGAGATACCAATAGCTCCCCTTTCCCCCCCAGCCCCCCCCCCCCACATGAAAATAACAAACTCTCATTTCTTTTTCTTCCCTTTTATCAGCTCAGTGCATACATCATCCAAATTCTTAAAGAAAAAAAGAACTATTACGTACTTTCTCACTTAGAATTAAAAACAAAGCCACTGCTTTACTAACGCTCATTTTAGAAGCATCAAGTACATGTATCCCACTATACACATAAAATCCAAATAGGGATTAAACAAAGTGAAGGTATCCCTGAAAATAAAAACAAAATAAAAGGGTGATATTAAAACACAGGTGACGTATTGGCATAAGGAGAATATAAGAGTTATAATATCCCTGATCTTCTTGTAGAACAAAAGCTTGAATTTCAAGTTATCAAGTATCAAAATGAAAAAAAAGCATGTTTATGTCATAAAGACTATTTTAAATTAAACAATGATGGTGTACAAAACACTACTGACTTCTGAATCATCATTTTCCTATTGCTCAGTACAAGAGCTGAGGTATATGACAAGTAAGAACATCTCCAACACCCTTTACACTTCTTAAACTCACATTTTAACTGTAGCAGATTGAGTAGCACCATTCTGAAAAGAAAAGCTTAAAAAAAAAGATTAGGAAAACATTACAGTACTAAAATAGTAAAAGCGTTAAGTAAAAAAAAGAAAATTCTGTTTACAAATTAATTTACTGTACACCTTTTTAACTTTTTTTGTTGTTTTTGTATTTTTATATTTACAAATTTAACATTTAAACATTACCACAGCAAGCCAGCTGCCTGATTTCTCCATTTGGATACAACTAACCCTGTTTACATCTTCCTGGCATGTTTTTAGCTCTCTCTCTTAAAGACACTGCTTACATTGTAACTATTAAAAAAAATTACAATTCTACCCAAACATTAACATCTCATTGCAAATCAAATCTATTGAGTGAATATATAATTCATTTATAAATGTCTTAATTGGTCTAGGATAACCATAGTATTATTGTCTAAAACATGCTGTGAGATAAGTGTTAATATGAAAGCCTAGGATCTAAAACTGCACAATCACTTTAGTGATGTAGTATGGACTGTTACATTTTCATATAACAAATAGCTGCATACTGTATGTGAGCACCAGGATCAGTGTTTTTATATGAAGTTCTGGTAAAGTTTTCCCCCTTGTGTCCAGTAAATCCCAAACTTTAAGGTAATCAATGACACTTAAAAAGTATACATAGCCTATCGTCTGAATTATGGCATTATGGATATTATAAAGTACTTTGACAGATTTTTATTTTACAGTAAATCTCTTAATGCCTTGGTACCCTATCACCCTTCAAGTTGTCAAAGCTTAAAATAGGCAAAGTGCTTTTTGAACACCAAAATCTTACAAAATATTCTGTAAAATTCATTTTGAGAATCCTTATTACAGAATCAGAATTTGCTGAGCCTCTGAAGTACTTTACATTTTAAATGTAGACTTTGTTTAAAACAGCTATAACTTTAAGTTAAAAGGCCTTTATGCTATGAAAGGAGACCTCAGCATCAAATAAGCAATTGAAAAATGTTAATTATTATGAAACCATTTAAATGGCATTTGAGATTTACATCAAAGATGTTAAAAAATCCTCTAAATATAGCACCATGATCTTCAAACTTTTCATAGCACCATGATCTTCAAACTTTTCAGTGTTTTTTTTTCCTGACAAGTCAACTAAAATCTGTTCTAACTGTTTGAGTTGACTGTTATTTGCAAACAATATATAAAGGCAAAACAAACCACTAAGAGTTTGATAGACAATTTTGTAACAAAAACTACATGTTGGAAATGTGTAGTTTTTAAATGTTGCCATGGTAACAATAATACTCAGCACCAGAGGATTAGCTTCTGTTCCTGCCCTGCGTCCAAAGAATAGGCTCATTAATGACATTAGAGGTCACTTGTGTCTGGCATAAATATTTAGATTAAATTAATTTACAGAAAGACTCTGCATGCATCATTATTCCAGAATGGTTTTCTGAAAGAGCACTTTTTGCATAGGACGCTTTTCAGCTTGGTCCTTACTGTGAACTCTCTTTTAACAAGTGAGTTGGGATACAGGGTATGTGTTTTTCAGGGTGTCTCCATTTGCTGGTGTTACTCTTTATTTCCAGTGCTCCATCAAACACTGTTTATTTTCCCTCATTGGGTGTAGCACAGCTGCCTTGCCAGATGCTAGACAGAAAATGAGGTAACCCATGTGAGTAGGAAGCTATATCCATCGACTATAAGGACCTGTAACCCGTGTGAAGGCATATGGGAACGCTGTAGTTACTGAGTTTGTTGTGAAAGTCATAGTCCTTTGTGCAAGAGTCTTCATAAAACGTATCTGTGGTGGTTCAATGGGTTCATGCGATTCTGGGACCTCTCGTTTTGCTTTCTTGCTGTAAGATTTGGTAGGCACATAATCCACACCAAGTCTCTCTGCCTCTTCTTCTCTTTCTCTGGCTTTATCTGCCATCTTGGCCTCCCAGAGTGCTAATCCATGTTTTGGCTCATTCATACTCTTGTGTTGATAAAATACAAGAGATATTCTTGTTGGGTGATTTCTGTTTGGGTTTTTCAATGGGGTCGTTGCATGTAGTTCACGTTTTGCGCACTCAATAAGAATGGACCCATGGCATGGCGCCACAGCAACCCCTCCAATATCTTTATCCAGGAAGTTATGTTCACTATCTGACCAAACCTCTTGAGGTTCTTCTGAAGCAGGTACGTCACGCTGTGAAGGCATTTGGGAGGTGTTTTCTGGAATTCTATGATTGACAGTTGCAGCTACTTCTGCTTGTGAGGTATTAGCCATCTCACAATTAACTGATGAAGGAAGCCTTGAGATGTCATTATCTCCAAGCATACTAAGTTCATTTTCTTTATTTTCTATTGGGAAAGAATTAGCAGGATGATGATCATTTGCTCGGTGAGAACTCGTGAATGAAGGATATTGGCTGTCACGAGCGACTGCTGAATGATCCACAGTCTGATTACTCAGATTTGACACTGATTTCGAACCAGGTTCCATAAGCTGGCTATCAACTTGAGGAGAAGAATTGAAGTGAGGATAACGTTGGATGTTTGATATTCTGTTTTCAATCGGGCAACCGTTATAGCCATTAACTTGCATACCATAGTTACAAAATCTGCCCATACACATCTGGTTGTTGCCATACCTGTAGGAATTTGAAAATTGCTGATAGAGAGTCTGAATTGGTGGCAGGGTAAGCTTGTTCATTGGAACTTGGTAACGGTACATGTCCATATGGTGTGCAAGTGAAGGATAGTAGGACCCCATATAATGGTGGAAGTTGTCAATTGGTGTGTTTCCGTTACATGGGTAACCTGGATAAGTGCTTGTTGGGGCAGATTGGTAGTAATTGGGAACCTGATGTTGTTGAATACCTGGAGGAATGACACGACCTGCAATTGAAACAAAACCAATGAAAAAACTTTAGAATGTCAGACACGGAAAAATCACATTGAGTCATAGTCATACAGTAATACTACACAGAAATAGATCCCTCTGTTCAACCAGTCGATACCAAATATAATCCCAAACTGAACTAGTCCCACCTGCCTGCTCCTGGCCCATATCCCTCCAAACCCTTCCTATTCATCCACTTATCCAAATGTCTTTTAAATGTTCTAACTGTGTCCACATCCACCACTTCATCAGGAAATTCATTCCACATGCGAACCACCCTCTGTGTAAAAAAAATTTGCCTCTCATGTCTTTTTTAAATCTCTCCTCACCTTAAAAATGTGCCTGCCCTAGTCCTGAAATTCCCCATCCTAAGGAAAAGACAATTACCATTAACTCTATCTATACCCCTCATTATTTTACAAACTTCTTTCAGGTCGCTTCAGACTTGGATAAACTGAACCTCAGCCACTCACTCCAGCAAAGTTCAAAATCCTATAGGAGGATGCCGGTGATAAACTGAAGTTACGGACTTGTGCCTCGGATTAGCCAAACTCATGCACACGTACTATATGACCATTAGAAACCAATCAGTGCACGTTAGGCCATGCTCGAGCTCTAACGCATGGGAAAGGTTGCAGCCTGGGCCACAGATAGTTTTGCTCACATCCTGAACGAGCATGCACCCAGCATCATTTTTAATGCGGACGAAACAGATCATTTTACGACCTTTTACCAGATTGCTCTTAAATGTTTAAAATTGAAATGTACTGGCGGAACGTGAAGCAAGGAACATGTCACCTCTATGGTCCTTGCCAACATCGATGGCATCAAAAAGCTTGAGAATAGGAAAGTCCAAGAAGCAGCAAAGCAACCTCCCACACAAAAATGAGGCTAACAAAACCACATGGATGACCACTTGCGATTTTGAGATGTGGGTCAGGAAAATGGACAAAACGTATCAACGGTAGGAAAGGAAGACCATCACCCTGATGGCTCTTAAGAGTCTGATGAATGCTTACCCACCCACTTGCCTAGATGAAGCTACAAAGGCTGGAGAGATGCACCAGGATTTTACACTGCAGCACGAAAACATGGAAGACATTTTCACCACACTGATCTGGGTGGTGGATTCATCCAAAGATGATACATTAAGCAGAAAAAGATAACTGAGACTTTGCAGAGCCAACTCCCAAATTTGTTCACTGCCTTTGATTGTACAAGGTCAGGCCATTGCAAAGCATGAATTAACTGAAAAATAAAAACTTTTTTCACATATTTACTGCAACACTGTTTTCATTTTTGCATTGAGCACATTTGCAGGAAAATTGGGTAAAGGGGTTCTGCTGTAAAATGATATTTGCATTCCTGCGCAACATCGCGTTCTGGAAAATTGTGTTATAGAAATAATGGGGCCTATGGGAAAAGCGGGGTTAGGGACAGACCACCAAAAAACATTGCTCAAAATCACTCAAAAGCCTAACACAAAGATTAGCACAGCTTTAATAAATGTTTAATTCATATTTAATCATGAAATTAAGGTAAATTTAACACCTTATCTTGAAACAATGTCAAGATGACTTGATGGGGCAAGAGGTTTTGAGGTTGCTTTGTTGTTAATGCAGGGGCTGAGCGGCATCATCATCATCATCATCATCATCATCATCATCATCATCATCATCATCACCACCTTCAGGTGCAGTTGTGGTTGCAGGGTGAGGGCGAAAAATAGTTAATCCAGAAATTTATGGCTGTGGTTCATTGACTTCCGACTGTTTCTTGGGGGTTGGCTTAAAAAGACATCCTATTTTTACTGTTTTGTCCTTTTTCTTCTTTCATGAAGAAGAACATAAGAACATAAGAACTTGGAGCAGGAGTAGGCCATCTGGCCCCTCGAGCCTGCCCTGCCATAAAGAAGCTGTTCATAAGGTGCCAAATAAGATGTTATTCCACAAACTGCTGTCCTGCTGCGTTCTGCATTGTAATTGTTGTCCTCTAAGAGCTGAAACTGCTTCTCAATTTCCCTCAGGATAGAAGACAAAACAGAAGTGGAAAGCCCTCATGGTGCTGCATCCTGGACTTCATCTTCTTCATCTCCAGCTTCCACTTCCCCCTCAGCGACAAGTTGTTGTAGACCAGCTGTAGAGAGGACTTCACAGTGGGACTCAAGTGGCTCTTCAACATCCTCACTCTACTTCTTCAAATCCAACTTGCTTTGCAAGATCAACACAATTTTCTTTGATTTCTGGGAGATCCTCTGACGGATCAAAGGTTTTAAAGTCTTGGAAAACAATCTGGGAGAAGTTTCCGCCAAAGTGCATGCAAGCAGTCCTTACTGATATCACCCCAGGCCTCCACGATAATGTCAATGGCATTCTTGATGTTAAAGCTCTTCCAAAATTGAAGAACACTGTCCCTATTCCCCTCAGCGGAGACCGTTTCAGTGCTGACGTTGCACATGTTCAGGACAAAGCCCTCGAAACGATCATGTGATGTCAACTCTTCCATGCACTGATGGAATCGCATTATAGCCCATGCAAGTTCGTGTTTTAGAAATAGCATTACCCTATTCGCCAATCACGTTATAGCCAATTCACATTGCCAGAACATGTGTTATAGCAGACTCCCCTGATTCTAGGGGCTTCCTCAATCATCTTGAAGCTCCACTTCACATGAACTTTTGGATGTAGCCCCTCTGATTTGACTTATTGTGATTTCTTTTCAGGAGACAGTTCAGATCAAAGGGCTAACATATGATATTCAATAGTGGCACATAACAAGATCCTAATGAACACCTCTGCAAGCATCTTTTTTAGAAGTATTATTTAATTTTAATCTATTGATCAATTTTTCAGGAAACATTTCACCCAAAGCTGTAGTAGCCATGGATGCCTACCATGTGTTCAAGAAACTAGATACTGTACAGTTCAACACAACACAGCCCTTTGAAACACTCAGACTTTAATTGGGTATGGAACAAGAGAAGGCCATTTAGTCCATAGTCATGAGAGAAAGGATCATAAGAAGGATGATCTTGGCCATTTATTGTTCAGTTATCAATTAGATAAAAGTTGTAGCCTTTTATTTTCATATCATAGTTACAAAATCTGCCCATGCACACCGGGGACTGGATCTAATTCTCCCTGTTGGTGGGTTTGAAGGCAGGGCCACATTAAACCTAATGTGTGGTTTGCCTGCTACATATCCACCATCTCCCCCTACCTTCAGTGAAATTATAGCAAAGGCATAGCCAGCACAGGTGGCTCACCCAGCAATCAACCATTCCACCAACACCACTAAATTAGATAGTAGGCGAGGCCTACACCAAGCGACCAGCCCAGCCCATGTCCCAGTGTTGGTGTGGATTGTGGGGTCCCTCTTTGACAAGTCCCCTTGCTTACTGGATGGTCCCTCCAAAGCTGGGAGCCCAATATGGCTTATCCAATCGCGGCCTCCACTCTCTCCTCCCCCCACTTCACCAACCCCAAACATTTACAAAGGTATTATCCATCATAGTTGGCTTCCTCATTGGCCAGGGGCAGTACTGGAAGTGGTAAAATAGTCTGTTTCATCATCCAGATTCAAAATGACTCTTGGTGCATGCCCATTCAGGTGATATATTTCCAATTCAGGATGGGGAACTTGCAGGTAGTGGCGTTCCATGTATCCGCTGCCCTTGTCCTTCTAGATGGAAATGGTCATGGGTTTGGAAGGTGTTTCCAAAGCAGGATCTTTGGTGAATTTCTGCATTGCATCTCGTAGATAGTATATACTGCTGCTACTGAGCGTCGGTGGTGGAGGGAGTGGATGTTTGTGGATGTGGTGCCAATCAACTGGGCTGTTTTCTCCTGGATGGTGTCAACCTTCTTGAATGTTGTTGGAGCTGCACCCGTTCAGGCAAGTGGGGCATATTCCATCACACTCCTGACTTGTGCCTTGTAGACGATGGACAGGTTTTGGGGAGTCAGGAGGTGAGTTACTCGCCACAGTATTTCTAGCCTCTGACCTGCTCTTGTAGCCACTGAGTTTATGTAGCAGATCTAATTGAGTTTCTGGTCAATGGTACCCCCAAGAATGTTGCCAATGGTGGATTCAGTGATCATAACACCACTGACTGTCAAGGGTTAGACTGTTTCTTATTGGTGATGGTCATAGCCAGGACCAAGAAGAAACAATGTAATAACCACCCATTGACATTACTTTTGATGAATATTGTAAGTGGAGATATGTTCTAAGTCTGTAACTAATGTGGGAATATTTTATACAGAATGTTGCAAAATATTTCATTTTCAATCCCAATGGCCTTGCTAAAATTTGGAAATTGCTCTGAGATTGAAATGTAGAAATGCAAAGTGAAAGGACAGCATGTTATACTTCTGCTATCCTTTTGTTAATTGCTTGGTAGTACACTACTTAAACTTGCCTAAAGGAGACACAAAGTTAAAGGTTTTCATCTTGCGCTAGTCATGGCTGCAACACAAAAAGACAGACTTGGAAAAAGAACACCAAATTATACAGAACGAGAAGAGGGTATTGATTTGTTAAACCATTGTTGGCTTGGAGATGGAGAAGGTGCTGATATTTCTTCGTTCTCAGTCAAAGCAGGTAGACTGTGATTGGTCAGGGTATTGCCATGGGAATGCAGCAGAGATTTGTAGTCTCCAAGATTGCTTTCTCAACCAAAAAGTGCAATGCATAAATCCCTTTATCTATATAAAACAGCTTCCTGTACATTAATATATCTAGTTCCTAGAGGCGCAAATGTATCACATTGTGAGTCTGTTGATATAAAAAGCTCTCCTGAATACATTTTAAGAAATCTGTCCCCTTTAAACCGTTTACACTGAGACTATCCTATTAATGTTTTGGAAGTGAAAATCCCCTAATATAAATACAATATTGTTTTTACACATTTGAGTGAATTATCAACATATCTTCTCCTCTACTGCCCACTGACTATTCAGGGGTCCATAATGCACTCCCAGCAGTGTGACTGCTC